CGGATGCCCAACCAACTGAGCCACCCAGGCGCCCCAAAAGAGCTACAATATATTGAGCACCCCACTATAAGCACAGCACTAGGCAATACATCTGCTCCTTATTATAACTTAGCACATTAGCTATGATTATCCCCATTTGCGGGATGAGAAAACTGAGCTCAGAAGGATTAAGTGGCTTAGCTCAGAACACAGAGCTAATAAATGGCAGAACTGGATTCATACCGGCCCTTTGCGGCTCTAACAAACCAGAGGGTTTTCTCTGGTAATACCTGTGTCCCCAAGAGCCCAATCAAAACATATCTGTCAGAGAGAAAGAACTGACATACATTTTTCTTTTTTTTGCATAATAAGGTAAATGAGTTACAAGTGGAGAAGAGATTTGCTCTAAAAAGAGATCTGCAAGATGGATAATGATTTGCAGGCAGCCCAAGGGCTAGAATTCCAAACTGCTGTCTTCCCATTTGAATTTTTCATTTCATAGATTCTGGGAACCCTTTTTTCCTTTCTCACGGTGCCCATTTGGTGTTCATAACGCAAACTCCAATCTGTACGTTTATGTATCCGTGCTGACAGTATTCTTGTTCTACTTCCAGTCGGTTAAGCAGAGACAAGAGGCAGGGTACTGGAGCAAGGTCCCCAACCAGGATGCCAGCTCCCAGACCCGCAGATGGGAGGCAGAGAATTCAGACTGTTCATAACCGTAACCACTAGGTGGCGCCGGCACATGACCAGGCGCTTCGGGACCCCACTGGAACAACTTCCTATCACCTCCCAACCACCGGGGGCTCCTTTGACATTGCCTACAAACTCTAAAATTATTTTTCCCCTGTTTCCTTGCTGGCTTTCGAAGGTGTCTCCATGTACATGAACATATAGCGCAAATAAGAGTATAGAAATTATTTTAAGGTCAGATTTCTTGGAACCTAATGTATCTAAATGATGCATTTGGGTTTCCTGGAAACAGCTTTGTCTAAAGGATGATTTTTAGTATCATAAAAGCAACAGAATTATTATTAAAGTGATAATAAATGATAAAAGAATTACACAGAATGATTACAATTTTTTTTTAAAGATTTTATTTATTTGGGGGCGCCTGGGTGGCTCAGTCATTAAGTGTCTGCCTTCGGCTCAGGTCATGGTCCCAGGGTCCTGGGATCTGGGATCGAGCCCCGCCTCGGGCTCCTTGCTCAGCAGGAAGCCTGCTTTTCCCTCTCCCTCTCCCACTCCCCCTGCTTGTGTTCCCTCTCTCGCTGTCTCTCTCTCTGTCAAATAAATAAAATAAAATAAAAAAAGATTTTATTTATTTGTGTGTGAGAGAGAGTGTGTGTGAGTGGGGAGAGGAGAGCGAGAGGGAGAAACAGACTGTGCTGAGCGCAGAGCCCGATGCGGGGCTCGAACTCATGACCCTGAGATCACGACCTGAGCCGAGATCATGACCTGAGCCAAAATCAAGAGTCAGATGCTTAACCAACTGAGTCACCCAGGAGCCCCCAGAATGATTACAATTTTTAAAAAATATATAAAACTCTATGTTTAAAAAAAAAAAGACCAGAAGCACACCAAAATGTAAACAGTAGGTATGTTTGAGTGGTGGAACTATGGGTAATTTTTTTTCTTGTTTCTCTTTCTGTATTTTCCAACTTTAATTACTGTCTATATTAAAAAGGATACTTATGGTGAATACAGAAGAAAGAAATACAAACTGTATTATACAGCATTTAGAAAACACAATCAGGGGCACCTGGGTGGCTCAGTCAGTTAAGCGATAGACTCTTGGTTTTGGCTCAGGTCATGATCTCCCGTTGGTGGGATTGAGCTGGGCATCAGATTCCGTCCTCCATGCAGTCTGCTTGAGACTCTTTCCCCCTCCCTCTCCCTCCCTCTCTGTTCTTGCCCTTGCTCATGCTCTCCCTCTCTCTCTCAAATAAATAAATAAAACCTTTAAAAAAAGAGAGAAAAGAAAACATAATCACACTAGCCTAACCCACATTTTGGTGTATCTCCATTCATTTCTACTTCTTTATAGATCTGGTTTTTTACTTATCGATTTACATCATTTATAACCATCTTTTATTAAATTAATGTTTTCAGCTTTTTAAAATTTTTTTAAAGATTTTATTTATTTGAGAGAGAGAATGAGATAGAGAGAGCATGAGAGGGGAGAGGGTCAGAGGGAAAAGCAGACTCCCTGCCGAGCAGGGAGCCCGATGCGGGGCTCAATCCCAGGACCCTGGAACCAAGACCTGAGCTGAAGGCAGATGCTTAATGACTGAGCCACACAGGTGCCCCAATAAATAAAATCTTTAAAAAAAAAAATATTCCAGTTAACTCAGGTTGAAATGTAATCCCACCAAAAAGGACTACAGCCGCCAGGGCAAATAACACTGCTCTGTAGTCTGTTGAGTACAATATTTAGGTTACATGTCATGCAGTTCCAGTCAACTGAAATTCTTCAGAATTTCAAGGAATAGTACGTGGCATAGAGATACAGTTTTCAGGACCCAAGTATTTTTTTTGTTTGTTTTTATTTTTTTTAAGATTTTATTTATTTGGCGCCCCAGGACCCAAGTATTTTGTTATTTAAAAACCCTTTAATATGCTTCCCAATGTTTTTCTGTTGTAAGAAAATCTCACACACATCCTCATTACTGAGGAGAGAGTAAGAATCAGAGAAGTAGGGCTTCTGGGCGGCGCAGTTGGTTAAGCGACCAGCTCCTGATTTTGGCTCAGGTTGTGATCTCAGAATGTGATATCAGGGCCTTGAAATTGAACCCCAAGTCAGGCTTCACGCTCAGCAGGGAGTCTGCTCAAGATTCTCTCTCCCTCTCCCGTTCACCCCCATCCCTGCTTGCACGCATGCCCATGCTCTCTCTCTCTCTTTAAAAAAAAAAGGATCACAGAGAAATTTTTTACCAAATTATTTTAGAAATGTGATTCTACTCTGGCTAAAGGATGTGAACTGGTAAATGAATCTGTTTCTAAAAGAAAATTCTCTTCACCTCCCTCAAATAAATATTTGGCTAACATTACAGGATATTGGCTTGGCAGGAGTGTGTGTGTAGGGAAGGGAATAGAATTGTTAAGCTTGACCTGGTGTCCACATGAGTAGGCAGGAGAGTAGAGAAGTGAAAGTATGTAGAGTTTGGGGGCCATGCCTAAGGGTTTATATTTTATTTAACAGTAATGAGAAGCCAAAAGAGGTTTAAGTACGGGAAAGATATAATCAAGTTGTGAAATTTTTTTTTTAAGATTTTATTTATTTATTTGACAGAGAGAGACAGCGCGAGAGTGGGAACACAAGCAGGGGGAGGGGGAGAGGGAGAAGCAGGCTTCCCGCTGAGCAGAGCAGGGAGCCCGATGCGGGGCTGGATCCCAGGACCCTGGGATCATGACCTGAGCTGAAGGCAGATGCTTAACGACTGAGCCACCCAGGTGCCCCAAGTTGTGAATTTTTGAAGATTAATCTGGTTGTAGGTTGAAGAATCTACTCTTGGAGTGGAGAGAGAATCAGCAGACTGTTTCAACAGTTCAAGTAGGACTAACTCAAGGACAATGAGAATGGAAGGAAAAGTGAGTAGACTCAAGATAAATTTGGGAGGTAATACCAGCAGGCCTTGGAGATGGACTGGATATGGGGGCAAGGGGTGATGGTGAGGATGGTGTGGCGAGTCCGACTTTGTGGGGATAGGCATAGAAAATGAATTTGCTTCTGGTGGTATGTTTAAGATGCCTATAAGACAGATGAAGCAGTGAGGGAGGTAGTTGGAAATGTGAGCACAGCATTCAAAGGTAAATATGGAAATCATTTTCCTAATTAAATATTGTTCAAAAAACATGACTGTTAATGGCTTCATAAAAACATTTATAAGGGGTACCCGGGTAGCTCAGTCAGTTGG